TGGTTCCTTTTAGGATGTTACCAGTTATTGTGGAGTAATAGGGTGAAGTTAAGAACCAATGAGAACCATCCTTGCCCCACCCTGAATATTTGTATAAAATCTACCGAGAAGCAAGAAAAGAGGTTGATGTCCGGCCTTGAGGATAGGTCTTATGTTGAGTTCCGGCCTTGAGGATGGGTGTTATATTTTCTTCCGGTTTGGGGACTGAAGCCTTCGCCCTACATAGACCATAATGATCCTGGCGGAGCTTTTAACCATGACGAGATGACCTCGGATCAACAGATGCAGCGATGAAATCTACTACTTACACCACTTCGCATATCATAATAGCTTAGTTGTAAATCCTAATCCTAATGTTATATTTCATAGCGAAAATTCTCAAAACAGTCCATCTGAAATAATACCTTTAATGTCATTGATTAAATTTATTTGATCACGTATTTAGTTGATTGTATATAATATTTGCACATTAAGATTTTATTTATATACAATTCTTTATTAAACATAGAAAGAAGAGGTACTGCTGAGTACTTTCCTTCCCCATGCCTGTCATGTCATTATGTCATTATCGCCATCACATTTGCTGATTGTCAACTTATTCTTGACAGGCGCAAATACATATTTTATAGACAAAAAAAAAAAAAAAACATAGAAACAAATTAAGTTTTTTAGTAAAAGTTATTTATTAAGTTATTAAGTAAATTTTAATTTGGCCACCCAGTTATGTCATGATGATCACAGGTAATGTAGGTAATTAGAAGGCATGATAAACACAAACCAGCCTTTGAAAAAATAATTCCAATTAATTAATCCTGCACCAATCAATATATTATAGATCCAAATTTAATTTTTTGTTATTAATTTTTATTAAACATTTCTGGGTAATTATCATCAATAATTTTCTAGTGGTATCGCGAAGTAAAATTAAACACCCCAAAACATAACAATTTTTAATATCATCCCTTTTGTGGGGATAAAATGTAGCAGTACATTTTTTGGATAAAAAACAAATTTTAATAAGTAATTGTGATATTGACACCATTTGTGAATCGACTCAAAAGATTGGAATTGGTAAAAAGAAAACCCTTGTATTCGGGTTAGCTGTCGTCTCATTTTTTTGTCTAAAGTTATTAGCATTTAGATAAGATAAGATTTTCCTTCATAAAGTAACAATGTAGGGCATAAGATAATAACTAAAACCATATAGTAAGCAAAACAGAGTACTGAAAATAAAATAAGACAAAACAAAACGACACAACTAAATATTATTCATTGCTTTTCCCATCTGTTTCTATCCCTGGCCACAAGCCACCAGTTATCACCTACGTATTGTGTATTTCGTCCCGCCACCTAACATCCCTTCGTATTTTTATATTTCTCTCTTGGGATCAACTCGATTCGTGCCTAGGACCATCTTTCATCTTCGCCGAATACTTACTTATTAAGTATTCTAAAACATATATTTTAAGGATAAGTAATAAAATCACTATCATTATAGATTCAAACATACTTTAATTTTAGGCTTAAGTAAGCACAGTTTCTAGTTTCTAACTTAGTCGTTTACCAATTAATAACTTAATAACTTGATTAAAACTCTTGACCCTGGCTATATCAGTCAAGAACGCGATGGTTGTCAGATTTAGCGAACATTTTTTTTTTCTCTTTAATTATTTATCATTACCTGTCAATTGGTGTTGACAATCAGCAGATGTGTCCTGATGATGACGATAGGCATTAAAGGCATGGGGAAGGATAGTACCCAGCAGCACCTCTTCCTGGTCATTATTTATTTTTTTGATTTAGGTGAGAAGATCTCACATCCAGCTCCTTTTTAATCTCCTGCTGATGGGCATGTCAGTCGTAGCCATGTCGTTTATAAGTCTGTTTGCGTGTCCGTGTAGTTTGAGATGAAAACGAGAATACAGAGTACGTATGTGTTGGTCTATAGTTGGTTGTCGCAAGTCGTTATGTAAAGTTTTGTTGTTGACGTACCAGGGAGCTCCTGTTATAAGTCGTAAAATTTTGGATTGAAATGACTGTAGTTTTTGTAAGTGCATCTTCTTTGCCGAACCGTAAATCTGAGAGGCGTATGTCCAGGTGGATTTGAGTTGGTAAGTGTATGTATTTAGTTTTTGTCGAACTTTCAATTTCGATTTAGAAAAGAGTGAGTACAGTTTTTCAGTCGCTTGTTTAGCGAGTCTAGCGAACATAAATTTAGTTTTGTTATCGATGGAAATTATCAGAAGTGACCCAAGTAATAAAATTAGTCTAAAGTTTGAATATAGTAATCATATAAATGAACCAAATCTAATTTAAAGATTCTACTTAGAGGTGACCTCGTCACCTGCTCTTGTTCAACTCCACAACAATGGATTTCAAACAAATGAAATATCGATCTGAGACTGTTTTAATTCAAAACCACGGCTATAAATTCTGAAAACGACATTGGCATTTTATCCGATATCCGATAACGATGCTGAATGTTCAAGAAAAAACCAGGTTACTTCTAAAAGCTCCAAGCTTTGTTATAACACAGGTTAATCATAAAAACAATTATGTTTAACTGATTTTTGAATTTATTAATATTCTTCAAATCATTTGCTAAATGTTTTGAGCACTATTGTTTATTTTCCTTGAATTTAAGAAATATTAAGGTTTTTAATAAATTCCGATTTTTTTTTTAATATTTACAGGAAGGGCGATAGTGCACAATTTACCATTAGCCTCCTCTCAATATGCTCTAAAATCTTTGAGTAATTTCTCTACGAGAGATTTCTTGACATACTGACAAACGAAAACATAATACCGGAACATCAATTTGGATTCCGAACACACTATTCAACCATTCATGAATTACATCGAGTGACGGAACAAGAGCATAAATTATACGAAACAGGAGTATACCGGAATGTTGCTAAAGTGATCGATAGTGTTTAGCATCAGGGTCTTTCAAACTGAAGACGACACTACCTCCAACCTACTATCTTATCCTTCAATCGTTTCTTTCTGGTATATTTTTCTTTGTCTGCCAAGGCGCAGATCTTTCTACTATAAATCCAACCTCAGCAGAAGTTCCTCAAGGGTCAGTACTCAACGTTACTATTTATCATTTACGCTCATGATATTCCACACAGTTTCGAAACTCTGACCGCGACTTAAACAGGCAACAATCTTATTAAAAAATGAAATAAAAAAAAAACACATAGAATAGTATCGTGGTATATTAATGTATTATTATATTATTGTGGACACGATTACTTAGCGTATGATAATATATATTATAAAAAATAAATATGCTGCCCAGGCATTCGATAAAGTCTGGCACCAGGGACTTCTCTTTATACTCAAAACACTGATACCTCATACATATTACCTCATTCTCCAATCTTTTCTTTTCGACAGATTTTTCTCTGTCCGACAAGGCCTAGCAATTTCCTCAATTCGACCAGTGTTAGCAGGAGTACCTACGGGATCAATACCGGCTCCTTTACTCAACATTATAAACACGCATGACATACCTATCAACTCCGAAACATTGACTGCCACCTATGCTGATGATTTACGAAATCATTTACTGACTTTACAAAATTGGTACTCAATTTGGAAAATAAGATTAAATCATGACAAGTCACAACATATAACATTTACACTTCGACGAGAAACGAGAAACAGAAAAACACAGTCACCTGGGATTAATATTAGACAGAAGGATGACCTGGGACCCACACATCAAAATGAAATGACAGACCTGAAACAAGCGACTGAAAATACTATACTCACTTTTTTCTAAATCGAAATTGAAAGTTCGACAAAAACTAAATACATACACTTACTTACTCAAATCCATCTGGAGATAAGCCTCTCAGATTTACGGTTCGGCAAAAAAGATGCACATACACAAACTACAGTCATTTTAATCTAAAATTTTACGACTTATAACAGGAGCTCCCTGGTACGTCAACAACAAAACAGACTTACAAACGACATGGCTACGACTGACATGCCCATCAGGAGGAAACTAAATAGGAGCTGGATGAGAGATCTCCTCACCTAAATCAAAGAAGTCAACAATGACCAACAAGAGGTGCTGCTGGGTACTATCCTTCCTCATGCCTATAATGCCAATCCTCATCATCACAACACATCTGCCGTCAATACCATGACAGATGCGAATAAATAGTTAAAAAAAATAGTGAAGTTAAAAAAAAATATGGCAATAATTGGTTAATATTAATTTTACTAGACTTATGGTAAATGTGCCGATAATAGACACTGTACTAGTGTACTGTCCACACTTCAAACTGAAACGACAGACTTAAACAACCTACTGAAAATACTGTACTCACTTTTTTCAATCGAAATTGAAATTTCGACAGTAACTAAACAACTACACTTACCTACTCAAACTCGTCTGGACGCCTCTTAGATTTACGATTCGGCAAAAAAGACACACGAAAACTATAGTCATTTCAATCCAAAATTTTACAACTTTTGGCAAGATCCCCTTGGTATGTTAACAACTAAACTACACAAAAGTATAGACAAATAGACTCATCTCCTGAAGTAACTGCCAAGAGAAGACATCCTGCATTGTTTCAGACAATGGAAGATTTGTAGATGTTGTAGGGATAGAAAAGGAATTCGTATTGAAGATGATAGTAAGTAAATAATGTCTGAAATCAAAATAAAATGTTTTGTAGAATCATTCTCCTTATTTAATTTCCATAACTCGTTTTAATGCCGCTATCTTCAAAATATGTATCTATAAAATATTTTAAGTTGTGTGGCTAGTCCAATAATTTTAAAAACAAATTCGACTTGAGATTTGCTTTAATGATCTCAAAAATTCATTGTAGTTTACACATTAACCGCCAACCATTCTTTGTAACGTTGGAAATTTAGAGTTTCTATTTGATAATTGTTCATTGATTTTCTATCCCTTCTATTGCCTCTTCCTTATTACGACACCGACAGGTCCTTACATAACCTTCTTGTTACAGACGGAGTGTGCTGGAGGAATACAAGTCTGACGGGTTGGACAGGATCGGCCCTATAAAGTGGTCCTTAGCCCTTTGTGTCCTGGCGGTCTTCCTATTGGTCTACTTCTCCCTCTGGAAGGGGGTCAAGTCAACGGGAAAGGTAAGTCTGGCTATATTGCACTTATATTGCGTTCTTCCTTCTTTCATGTCTTATGGTTATCCTAAAGGGTCAGACTTTGGAATGCGATCATTGGACTTCTTCAATTGATCCACAGAGAAAAAAGCCTCAGCTTTCAGGTTTCCTTCCAACCAAATGAAAGGACTATCTTAAAAAAATAAAAATGATGCTCATGTCGAAGAAACAAACTTATTTTTATATTCAATTTTTCACACTCACCTTTCAAAAATATAATATAATTTTATTTTTTGTTAAATATAATTTTCCATTCTATTAGCCTTTTATAAAATATAAATTTTGATCTAGGTAAGCATAAGTAGGTAACATTAATACCATTACCATAGTAAGTAAACCATGTTAATGGATTATTACCGTTTTATTATTATTTTAAACACTATTTCTACCTTATTCCAGCTAAAATAAACTGAATTTAATCAATTATAATTTACATTCCATACCGTGAATGCAGAATACTTCATCGGTAACGTCTCGAAGAAGAAAGATTAATAGGATCCTTAAATAGGTACAATAAAAAAAAATAAAAAAAATATTATACATATATTCTAACCAGCACACTAGAAGCCAGGATTGAGAGATTCGGAAGAAAATTCTACGTACGATAACAGGACCTATCGGAGATCAGAACCGTAACACGTGGAGGAGAAGGAACAATAAAGTACTTCTAGAAGAAACTGGTAGATCAATATCTCCTGATATGAAGGCAAGAAGGTTAAGATGGAAGGGCAGCACAACAACTAACGCCAGAATAGGAAGCAAGAGACCACGTGGGAAGCCAAAAACCAGATGGATAGATAGGATAAACAAAGATACGGCTAATCTTCATGCCGCAAACTGGAAAGCAGTAGCTAAGGATAGGCAGAGGTAATGAAGGCTGGTCCAAGCGACCAAAGATGTACAAGGTCTATAGAGAAAACCGAAAAAGAAAAAAAAAATATATATATACACACATGGATCGTTTATTTCTATTAAACACATTCCTACATATTGCGTAACGTGGACAGTAAATTATATTTTGACATGGAAACCCCTAGAAGAAGCTGCATCTCAGCCTACAGCATATATTATAAATAATTTGGGAAGGAAAATACATATGTTATAATATATATATATATATATATATATATATATATATATATATATATATATATATATATATATATATATATATATATATATAATACGGTTCCATGACAAAACACACGTCTTATTTAATCTAGTTAGTATATACAGAGTGATTGTATCAATTTCTGTATAAAGTGAAAGTTAACCCAGTTATCAGCATATCCATTTCAATCAATAACTTATCAAAATTTGCTCTTGTTCGTTATTACAATGGAAGACAACATTATTTGATCCATTCTTCTATGAGGAAATAAATTTCCTTATAAACCGTCATAATTAAGGACCCAAATGTTGTAACATATAAAAATATGTTTAAATTTCTTTTCTTTTCATACGAATTCCATATAAAGAGATTATATGAACTATTTGATGAATGTTAACTTAAAGGTAGTATTCATGGTTTTTAATTTGGTAGATTCCATAACTTCTTCGTTTACCTGAATGGTTTTGTTTTTTTAATTTTAACCTTATGAAATTACACACCAATTGAATATAATGAAAATAATAAATGTGAAAGTAGCATACGGGCATGTGATATCGGTTTATTATAAAGAGTCATTAAGTACATTTTTGATGGAGCTAAACTGTTAAGAATATTTTTTTGTAAATGTTTCCTTAATTTCCAAAAAAAAAAAAAACACAGAAATGCCCCATTATGAAAAAAAAACTTTTTTATATATAAATGGATATCAAATATAGTTAGAACTAATATAGATGCAACAAAGATATTGTTAATCAATGTTCTGTTTTTAGAAAGAGAAAACACATCAAAATTTTAAGTAAATTAAGTTTGTAACCTATCACTTTTAAAATAAATGGATGATTTGTTGAAGAACATTTACGATATTTTATTATTTCAGAAAGCGTTAAAAATGCCTCATAAATATAGTGGAATTAAATCAATATAGAAGTTGGGTTTCCACAGCAATAACAGCATGAAAATCTTATTTTAGTTCGTCACTGTCTCGTAGTAGGTTTCCTATATTCGCGGTCTAACCCTTTAGTCCATAAATAAATAAATTTTCTGTCTCGTCCGGGCTCAAACCTGATCCCAATAGTTCGAAGAAAATTGCCTTATGTCCATTATTCACCTGCATTCCATTATTATTCGTATTAATCAATAAAAATCTTATTAATTATTATAAATGGTGTCTGCAAGGAATATATAAGCCCTTGAACTATGAAGATTTATTCAATATTCAACGTTTCGAGCTAATTCTTAAGTGATTGCTCATTCTCCTCCTAGTTTCTTCCCTTGTTTTCCCCCACTTCGACTATGGCTGTATGGTGTAAGGTGGATTCTCGGGAGATTTCGAGGCCAAACTTAAACGCCTAATGAATTGCGCACTAAGGGATACGCATATTATCCAGTATTACACTGAGTTGAGGTGTCTCTACCAATCCTATCGCCATCAGTACTTCCTAGCCACCTTTCTGTACCAAATCATTAGAACTCATCGACCCTCCTATATTTTTCACAGCTTACAATTCAAATACTCCATCCAATCGTGCTACTAGATCTCGTACTTCCGAACTCTCTCCTCCTCCTCACCAAACTGCTGCGTTTCACAAATCCTTTGCAATACAAGCCGCCTTCCACTGGAATTCCATCCCTGCTGATATTCGACATGCTCAATCAGTTTCCTCTTTCAAACCTCTCCTCTTTAAACACCTACTCCTTTCTCAATCCGGCTGATTGCGAAATATACTTAAGAGAAATATCTAAGCACCCCCAGAGACTACCTCAATTTATTTAGGTTATTTTAGTTTCTCATATATGTGTACAATTTTCTTGTTCTTTTCTTTCTCTTCTTTAGTATTTTTGTTTTTAGTCAACTCTTGTTGTAAATATATAATCTAATTGTAACCACACAAACATACAATCTGTATTTATAATTTGTTCTAAAGGGACAAGTGCAAGAATAGTAAAATATTTTTTCATTACATTCTCAAGTCATCTACAACAACAATTAACAAACATAATTACAACATAGATCATTCATTATCTAGTCATATAAAAAGTGAGAGCAAACAATCAAATTGTATGTATGAAAACATATTTCTATATTTTAATTTTATTAATTATTTATTTTTGGTACACCAAATACCAAAAACAACACTATTCCTCGTCACATTTTATGTAAAGGTCTTTTATATAAAAGCTTATATATTCCTTGAAGACGCCATATATGAGAACATTGAACGCCCTTGAAAAATACTAATGTAGTAGCTGAATACACTTGTTAATGTTTTATGTTTTTTATTTTTTTGTTAAGAAGCGGTTTTTTAATCTAATGATCGTCAATTTTACCGATATTGCCCTTTTCAAAATTGAATATCTCTCACATTTCACTTATTCTATTTCGCATTCTCAATATATTTATTTTTTGCCAGAAAGCTAATATTTCATCTTTGATCTTCGTCAAATAATATGTGAAACATATTAATCTTAAGAGGAATAACTTATTGTTGTTTTTCGATTTGGAAGATGCATGTTGATGAATCAATATGAAAAATCATCAAATCGCAAATATTTCATTTCTAGCCGTATATGAGGGTCAGTGTGGAATATATTACATCACAGTTGCTTCGAGTTTAATATCTCGCTTTATAATTTTCATCCATGTTTCACCGAGAGGCGATGTTTGTAAAGCTTAGAACATCGATAAAGTTTTCATTTGGAAACCGTAATATCTTTTTCAACTCAAATAGACAAACATCAAACAAATCTAATTGGTCGATTTAACCTATCTTTCCTGTTTATATAGTTTCGGCAATATCTATTCATCTTTTACTAATCTAGAACATAAAATCACCTGACTAAAAATAAATTACATCTTAATAATCATCATTTAGGTTTAAAATGATTAAAATTTTAGCAGAGACGGAACTGTATTGGCATTATCCACTTCAAGATGAAGATAAATGATTATATTGTAAATAAAGACCCCATATAGATAGATGTCATAGTAAAACGAGTCTTATATTTTTATCAAACAATTACTAGCAACTGTAATATATTTTTTATTGTCAAATATTGCTTTAATTAAAATTCATTCATAAGTGGAGGATGTAAACATTAATTATTTCATGAACTGGACAAATCAATTCATAATTCGAAGAAAAATAACATAAATGCATAAAGTAAAATATTATAAATACATTAGATAACAAAAAATGAAGGTAAATAATTTTTTTAAATAATTAAAACTATTGCGAATTATTGTGACTAGAATTAATACAATTTACTCTATATTGTCTATACGCATGGCATGCCTGCCACCTCGTAAACATTGACTGCTACTTACGCTGACGATACAACAATTTTAACAAAATACGATGACCCCAGACTACCCTCGTTAAATTTACAAAACTGGTATTCACTTTGAAAAATTAGATTAAATTATAAAAAATCACAACACAACATTTACATGACCACATGATAAGACACATGCCCACCTGCTTATATCAGCAGCAATCCAATTCCTCCGACGGACACTATACGCTAGCTCGGGCTAATATTTTACAGAAGGATGACCTGGGGCCTACACGTCAAAATGAAACGAAAGACTTTGAACGAGCGACTGAAACTACTATACTCACATTTTTCTAAATCAAAATTGAAAATCAGGCAAAAACTAAATGCACACACTTGCCTACTCAAACCCATTTGGACATACGCCTAACAGATTTACGGTTCAGCAAAAAAGATTCACTTATAAAAACTACAATTTTTTTTTTTTTTTTTAAATTTACAACTGTATTTCATAGAAAATACAAAAAATACAATAAGTAAATGTGACATTGGTAACATGACATGTACAGCATGAAGAGAAACTACCCATTGGTAGAACTCAAATTAAAGTTCTATATTAGAAGGTTCCGAGGCCATCTTTTTTCAGGGATCGAGGAGGAAGTAAGGTTTGAAACGAGAGGATTCGGATGGTTCTGCAGTTTGTTATGGAAGGATAGGTATCTGGATTGGGCCAAATCGGA